ATGCAAGGCACTGAACCTCAACTGTTCTTGTCAATGACAAATGTCAATGCCTGTGGGCCATTCCACTGGAAGTCCAAAATTCTTTCATTCTCACAGAAACACATTGTTTCCTTCCTCTGTGCCACAGGAATAACAGACTAGAGTCACTTGTATTGAGGGTTTACATATTTATATCAAAGGGAAAATATGGGCCACAGTTCCTGAATCTGACGATCAAAAAAGGGAAAACAAATCCACTTATTCCAAAAATAAAACATGTTCTACCATTTTAAAGAAAAGGTTTGGAATGCTCAACATGTAAAGTACTTAGGCACCACAGTGATAGCTCTGATGTACTTCAATTCCACATGTAACAACATATCATCAGTATGTTGAAAAAAGTGCTCCTTCCACAATTACTTATCTATACTGTTTTTAAGCCGGCTGATTATTGCAGTTTTATGGGAGAACAGTAGTGGTTACACGATGCATTCAAATGACTCTTTCTTACCCTGGGTATAAAGGAAACCATGGAGAGCTGAAAGGAATTTACAAGATTTCTTCTGAAAAAGTACACTGCATAAGTATATATACCGGCCTCTGGAAATTCTGCTCACCCAGAGCAGGTCATCTTAACTGTCTTTTGTCATCATCATGCTAAAAGACAGACAAACAGATTTTGTGCCTGGACAAGGGAATATTCATATCAATGCTACCACAGACCTGCAAAAAGTTAGCAATTTCTGAATAAACCAAGCAAGTTTTCAAATTTAAAAGATTTTTGACCCAGATCATCTCCCCTATTCTCTCATTCAATACATTGGACCAAATCCATTTCCTCTGCCGGAGTAAATGAGAGCAGAAGCCAACTCTTCACATTATGAGTGAAAGCCAAAGCCTTTTCAAACTGCTGTTTTGAAGCAGGGAAGCAGGAGTCATTTGCATGCAAGTTTGTAGTCCTTGAAGGCACCAAACTAAGTTTACTTACACAAGAGCCTTCTGAAATCCCCTGCCTTTCTGTTAAATCATGCTTTTGATTGTGTGTAAATATGAGAGAAGCTTCCTATTACCTGTATATTTAAAGACAAAAAGTTTCTATACTGCAAATATTAAATTGTTTAAAACGTTAATTTATCTTAACTTGGTTTCCTTAAGACCTGCTCAATTTGAGGCTTGAAGTATACTAGAGTATTTTTCTGATTATGTTACAGTTGTCTATAATAACCAGAGGCTTTTATTTCTTCTTTAAATCCCAGGAAATCTAATCCAAAGGGACAACAGAAATCTGCACATATTGAAGATCTACGTTCCTAGAGTTTTTCTAGACATACCTATGACCTTTACAATGCATAAATAGCATTATATCTAGCTATTACCGATTGCATCAGAACTGTAGTCCCATCAATTGAACACAGGCACTGAAGACAGTAGACAAAGGTTCTAACTCTTGTTTTGACACAGACTTCCTGGGTCCCTAGGACAGCTTCCTCCTCTGTATGAGTGATGAGAATCCTGTTTAGGCAATTTTTGAAAAGTACTTTGGAAAACTCAAACTGGAAAGAGGTGCAAGTTCAAAAGTCTCTTATTTTGATTAAAGTTAACCTGTTTGACTCATGAGCACAGAGAAAAAGGTCCTATCCTACTGTTATTACTCAAAATTTCATTATTTAAATATTGTGGGGCAAAGTTGGTATGTTCAAAGCAGATTTTTTTTTTTAGTTATGACTGTGAGTAGATGCAGATACATCAAATGGAATTTAAAGAAACACCGATAAGAGTTTTGCAGTTTAACTACAGAATGCAGTGCTTCTGGCACTTTGTAATTTCAGGCTGCCTAACTAGAAAAAAAAAAAGATCACCTGCAAACTTAAAGATTTGTTCCTGAATTGGGCTGTTTCAAGTCCTTCATGATGTACAGAGGACACAAAGTTTGCCCTCTTTTTTTTTAAAGAGCAGTCACATTGTCAACTCTATTTTTCTGAAAGACTACATGGATTTCTGAAAAAGCATAATTCATTAGGGAGAAAATTGGTTTTATTCACACCTTTTCAATGCTTGTTAATATCCGTGATTGATTTATCACCTCACTGCTTTACTTAGAAGTGAAAAGAATTCCCCATTTCTTTATAAGACCCAACCTAGTCCTCCAGCACAACAGAGAAGACCATATTTGACATTCCTGTGTGTCAAACAACAGTAATGAATCTCCTCTGAATCAGATAATGTATAAATAGTAATATTTGCATAGTTAATAGGTTATGAACACTCGCACAGAAGACCTGCCATGCTTGCAGTCGTGGTCCAAGGCAATTCAATGAAGTATTTGGATCAATACATTTAGCATTATATATCAACTGTAGCAACATGTTCTTTCATGTACTAAAAATCCAGTTTTTCATATATGTGTATGCATCAACCATTGTATATGGTAGACCAGAAGGCTAAATCAGATCTGGTTTTCCCATGCAATACCCTATTTATATCACCTAATTTTTTTTTTTACTTAACTAATGTACCAAGGACAGAAAATCTATTCTGTATGTTACTGAATGCTCTGTATGCCAACTGCATGCTTCAATGAGAGATTCACATATAACAAATAAAATTATGGCAGGAATTTCTCTTTCAGTTTATATTTATACAGCTTTTTTGTGTGCATCCTCAAGCATAGTTATGATTTTGATTCTAGGATGGTTTATAAATGTGTTTAAACTCTAGTTTATGTTTCAGAAATTCATATATTTTTGAGTTAAAAGCCTCAGAAAACTCAGAATAAGCCTTGTACTGTATAAGATATAAAAGGAAAAAAAACTTCGCCACAACTGAAGTTCGTTGTAATTCTTTCTGCATATCAACTGCCAAAACTCTTTTTGTAGTATGGTGGCAGCACATGGTTTTATCTTTTTGCCGTAATTTATTCAAAAAGGAAGCTACCCCACATTTTGAAATGCTGTATTACAATAATATAGGTACAGTTATGAAGGGGTTTCAAGTAACGGTTCTCTTAACAATTCTGATTATCTAACCATTCTAATAAGGTTTCACAGAAACTGAAGATCTAACATGTCACGGGAGTGCTAACAACATGGTAGCACTGTAAGCCATTTAAATCATGGTATGGACTTGTGGCATAGACAGGGCTAAAAGATGTTTTTAGTCATCGCCCTGAATGCTGCTTTCAGACTTGCAAAGTCCAAGGTTATAGCATGATTCTCTAACAGTTTGATCTGCTCAGCACTGCACAAATCAAATGGAATTTTAACCTTTCAGGGACACAACCATGTTGTGACTGGACACTTCATTAAGTTACATTTTCATAACTGTCAACAAGTCATGAAGCGTCCAGTTCTACAAAGTACAACTCCATGCACATACTCATCTTTTTTAACAACGATCATCTAAAAACATAAAGTTATACTTGCCCATGTCATTAATCTAGTTAATCATTAATTTAGTTATTTAAAGTATGGGGTTTCTTGCAAAGACAGGCTGCAAGAAATCTGGTAAATGAAACTTAGAACAGATGCTTTCATAATAAACTCACCAAATTATTATAAATACAGAGAAATATAGAAAGAGATTTGAACAGACATGAGGGGAGTTAAACTGAGCTGCTGGTTTTTACTCCTTACCAAAGACTAAGCAAAACTGGGTACACCTACATGTGAATAGTGCTCCGCAATAAACTCCGGTGCAATTTGCACTGGAATTTATTGCTCCTGGGCACAACATTTAAAACGTGTGCCCGGGACCACAGCCACAGCTGACAGGAGGCCCCCAGGGTCAGCCTGCAAGCCCCAGGCTGCTCCAGCCCAGCTCAATGTGCTGCGGAGGGGTTGGCTAGGGCACAAGGATGCTTCAGTGTAGGGATAGCTGGCAGGCAGCGCCCCACACTGAACCACTCCCGTGCCCCAGCAGCCCCTGTCAGCAACTATACATGTGTTGTGGTGGAGTAAATAACTCCACCATAAGATAGTACCTGTATCTGGCAGTAGTAACCTATGGCAAAGTTATCTGATTTACTCCAGCCTAATAGCTTCACACATGTAGACCAGTGATGCTTTATTGGCCACATCTACATGTGACACTGACTGCGCAGTACCTCATTACTACGGCGCAGTAGCATTGTGTGGCAGGAAGCGTGACATGACGCTACTGCGCAGCAGTTAGTGTCACCTAAAAGCCATTCAGCGGTGCTACTGTGCAGTAACTCTGGTAACCACGCAGTTATTTAGTGACTAAATGACAGCACAGTAACGACTGCGCAGTCAGCGTCTCCTGTAGATGCAGCCATTGAGGAGTTAATTAGGCAACCCTGAAGTAAGTGTCTCATGTAGATGCGCCCACTGAGTCCTGTTTCATACTACCCTTCTGCAGTTAGAGAGCCATCCCTAACAAAAATTAGCCCTCTCCCAGTATAACGGGCATCATACTGATTTATCACGCAATACATACACTGCTCAAAAGTATTTCATTCCTCGCTGCAAATAGATGTTGTTAACAGTTTCTCTTCCAATGAACGGAATGAACGCTGGCAAGATTTTTTTAAACTACTCTCTCATTGCTGATATTAGGTGGTTCAGCCTTTTCTGAGAATTGACAGATGTAGTTCAGAGAATGTCATTAAAAAAAAAAATTGGTTGTGCATACATTCCATAATTGGAGAGAAAAAAGTGTGTGTGTGTAGACAGACCACTCACTGTTTAAAAGAATATGTGTTAGGTATGACCTACCATACTCCATTCTACCAGTTAAAAGCCCTGCATGAGCTTTATTTTTTTTTAAGCCCATCATAGTTGGGGAGTCAATGTCAAAGTGCATTCAGTTATAAGCAAAGGTTTGCTGTTCCACAGGGTCACAGCAGTTAGATGGTCAAGTAAACCAAAAAGTGCTCACTCTCATAAATTATACTGTTATGGATATATAAATATAATATGGAAGACTGATGTCACATGACTGTGTCTTTGGAAGAAGGGGAAGAAATGTTTGGACCCTAACTCAAATTTGTAAAGAATACTTACCGAACTGTAAAGACCTTACTGCACAAGCCCAAGTGTTCAAGGAGTCTTACTGAATGCTGAGGTGAGCAAAGATAAGATTATGCACAAAGAGTTTGCACAATCAAGACCAGAGGAACTCTGTGCAAAATACACATGCACATTTACACCCCTCACCCAGTTCTTGTCTTTCAAAAAAAATCAAATTTCTGCAAGACCTAGCAATAAGCTGCAGGCTTTGCCAACAAGCTGTCCCTGTGTTCAGCAATACCTAAATACCCATAAACGAGACCGTGCTCTATCCGTAAAAAGAAAAATGCTTTGATGCATACAGAACAGTTGTAACACTGACTGCAAAGTTCTGTCTCAGTTTTGGACGTAGGAAACTTCATCCAAGGCACTATCTTCAAGGTAGAGAAAAATACATTTTAAAAAAAGAAAAGAAAAAGCCATCTTGAACAGGATATTTCCAGTTCTCAACTTGAAAGAGAAAAATCTCTCACAGTGCTGGGAGCTCACTTGACAAAAAAAGAGGCAACAATACTGGAGCGGGCAAATCCCACATACCCTTCTCTGTGCCTAAGGCCAAGGACGAGCACCCACCTGGCCCAACTGATCTTGTCTTTACTTCCCAAGCTCAGAAAGGGCTGGGCCCAAGCAGCAAGGTCTTTCTCAGAAGGGGATGGAGAGCAGTACTGGCAGCAACGGGACACCACCTGCTTGACATGTTGACAGCCAGGCCTGCAGCCCTGGACCCAGCCAGGTGGGCCTTGGCATGAAGGGCACCACTGAAGGCTCAACGCCTGTTCCCCTGAACAGCCAGGGCTGCCGCCACCGGGCAGGGCTTGGGCGCACCCTAGACCAGCAGTGCCCCTGACTGGATTCTGCTAGTGCTGACCCAGGCTGGGCTTGGACGCAGCCTGGACCAGCGAACTTGTTAGCTGGATGCCACTGTTGCTGGCTCAGACCAGGCTCGGAGGCACCGCCCTGTGCCCAGGCCAGGCTCGGATGCACCCTACACCGCCGGCCCGTCGGCTGCGTTCCCCTGCATTCGCTGCCTCAAGTCAGGCTTGGGCGCATTGATGTGCAGACCAGCAGGTCCCACCGTCCACCAGCTGTTGGCCATGTGCCGCCGGCGCCGGCCAGCCCGAGGCAGGGTTGCCCACCAGGCCACACCGGCTCAGTAGAGGGGACCACCAGACTCCGGGGGGCTCCCGCCCGGGGCCCCCTCCTCATCCTCATCCTCCTCCAGCTCCTGGTCGTCCTGGCCCAGGCGGGTGCTGCGGCAGTGCAGGGTGTAGTTGGCGCCGCCGTTGTTGTCCCAGAACTCGCCCAGCGGGCTGTGGTAACGCACGGCGAAGTGCAGCGCGGCGCCCTGGCGCAGCAGGCTGGGAGGCGGGCACAGGGCGAAGTGGAAGAGCCCCCCGTCGGAGCCGGGCAGCGCGGGCGCGTCGAGGAAGGACAGCCAGTCG